AGAGAGAGGGAGAAGGAGACACACACACACACACGAGAGAGAAAGAGAGAGAGAGAGACAGAGAGAAAGACAGAGAGAGAGAGAGAGAGAGAGAGAGAGAGAGAGAGAGAGAGAGAGAGAGAGAGAACGTGTATGAGCAGACAGAGAGGCTGGTGCGTGCAATAAGATTGTATCTCGGTGCCTTCTGTTTATGGAAATTGTTTTGTAAGTGAACCAACACTGGGCTGTGTGCTCTCAATTTTAGGATTTTTTATTTTTTATACTGTGTATGTATTCTTTATATATTTATGTATTATGCAATTTAATTTTTTATTCAGTATGTATGTAAACGTATTACATACATTTATATAAATGTAAAATTATGCAAATCAGTTTTTATTCTGTATGCATGAATATATTATGTTATATGTGTATTTTTATACAGGTAGCTTGTAAAGTTGTGACTCAGTACGTTTGAATGCGTATATTATTTTGTTTGTTTGTTTGCCTTGATAGAAGGCAAAGTCTGTGTTGTTGGGCATTACAAAGTCTGTAATAATACTAGATCTAATTATAAATAATAAATGACATATATGTAGCGCTCAACCCCGATTACAGCACAAAACTCTGAGCGCTTTACAGAACAGTACAACGTACAATAGTAACATAAAACGTTGTGTTCTGACTAAAAGAAAATCACTCCAAATATTCATCTTATTATTTTAAAAACAGAAACGACTTCAGCTGACATTTGAATGAATCAAAAGATTTAATCTCTCTTAATAAAGTACGTGGCAAAGCATTCCAGATCTTGGGACCTTGATGTTCAAATGCCCTTTCACCCATTGTTTTAAGTTTCATAGAAGGTAAAGAAAAGTCTTTTTGTCAGCTGATGTTGGAATCACCCTGTCACACAATAACCCTGTCGAAGTCTATGGTGTAGCAGTTAAATGCTTCACTGTCGCACTCAGGAAACCCGTGTTCGATTCCAGAGTGGGGAGAATGTTTTAATGGAGTATCTCAACGGTCTTCATGTTGGGATGTTTTCCCTCTTAGCTCGGGTTGGCCCTTAGAGGCATAATCGGAAGCCCGCCTCCTAAATGGTCTAAATTGTGTCGATGGGGATGTGAAACTAAAAGCTCCTGAATTGCTAGAAAAAAATCCGACATTAAACATATTATCAAATTAGGTCAAGTCGTTGCAGGAATAATGTCACCTACTCTTTATTTTCACTTGCATAACCCCCCTGGGCAGTGCCACAGACTGTAGTGTCTTTAGGCCATTCCCAAAGGGGGGACATTTCTCGTTCATTCACAGTAGAATTGTAAATGGGCTGATTCATGTCATCCTCATAACTGTGCCTGATCTACAATAGATAACTGCTGCTTTTTCTTTCTTAATCCTTACTATTGTCATTTTCCTCTACTTCTTTTGTATGTTTGTCACCCTCTTGTGACTTGCTAT